TCTGAATGCACATATGTAGCCCAAGACTACTCTGCGCACAGGGTCACAACGCTGCTGTGTAATCAAAACTGTGTTGTCAGGCAGTTGCAGGAAGTGAAAAAAATAATGGATATACTGCCACAATCAGCATGTAATACAGCTATACTCCAGGTAGAACTCTAAAAAACAAAAATGTGTTAATTCCAGTAATAAACTGTACCATCTCTTTAAATTTTGATTTTGCACACAGGTACGACAAAAGACATTGCACATTGTGGCAACAGTTTTTGTAAGGTTTATTTTTTGTTTACAACTTGCTTGTGCCCCTGTGGACAAAAAGGAAAAGCACAAAGTACATCTGCAGCAAAGAAGTCGATAGAGCTTCACAGCATGGAGGTGTTGCATACAGAGAGTAGGGGTGACAGATCTGAGAAGCTGCACCCACAGCAAATTCTTGTGGGTTTGTTTCGTAGTCCATGTTCGTAGGTATGGATACTGGGGAGCAAAATGAGTAGGCTGGAGAGATGTCCCACTAATGGATAATGTTCTTTGCAGCTGAATTCACTTCTGATGGCAAGGACACTCCTGTGCAAAACAGGGCCTTGAAGTGTGAATCTGTACAACAGAAGAACCTACAACAGTTAGTTGTGCAGTTCCGCTAATCTATCATGTCAATTGCTTACTCTGTGGCTATTCAGTTGGCCACCTTCCCCATTGCTGTAGTATCCTTAAAAGAACCTGTAAAGTTGAGAGCTGACTTTGCACGGTCCAGGACTGCCACCTTTAAGCCAGCAATAGAGGATGCGATTTTCATTTGCAGGAAAGAAAATAGCTCGATTTCCCCATTAACACGGTCAGTTATTGTGTTCTCCATGTGGGTAGGGGGAGCTGTCCCTGCCAGCAGAACACAGGCAGCTGTAGCGGCTGGCAATAATCACATGAATAATCCAAAAGGCTAGTTGAACCCAAGTCATACAAAAATCTAACTGGGTACAATTACCATGCCCATAGCTGGTTCAAATCTCAGCCAGTCCCTGTTGAATCAGCCAAGATTCTAACCAGCTATGGCCTGCTTTATTTTTCCTCTTCCACTTTGAGTCATTGATCTGGAAAAAGCATGTGTTTTGGGACACCTGGGACTTACTTGTTAAATAATAAAGTTATCATTTGACAAAATAATACTATTACAGCTAAACTCAATAAGCACAACAAGTAAAGAATAATTAGATTTTCACCCTTGCCATATAATCTATTTCTCGGAGTCCATTGAAGGATACGTTCAGCATTGGAAACATGTTGCTCCAGTTTTTTTTAGGGTGGAAGATGTAACATGTTCCCACTGCTGCAGCCGCCCCCTGCTGCTCCCCCCTCCCTGTGACAGAAGAACGGGGAGAAGTTCCCCATGCTAGCTGTCAATATTTAAAAACAGCGTGGCTGTGCGGGGCTCCACCTACACTGCCACGTCATTCATTTCACAGTGTTTTGTGAATGAATGAAATGCATCTCCCGACAGTCTTAGCGGCTGTCAGTTTGTAGTTCTCGATGAACTACCACAGTGCTGTGGAGCGCCATGGTAGTTCATTGAATCTTCCGGGCAGTATATTTGCTTGCTAGTACATCCCATACAAAGTTAGTCTGGCTAAAAAAAGACAAAGACAAAAGTCCATCCAGTTCAACCATTAAAAAAAAAAAAAGTTACAATCCTACACTCAGTTGATCCAGAGGAGGCAAAAAAAAAAACCCCCCACAAAAGCATGATCCAATTTGCTCTTGCAGGGGAAGAAATTCCTTCCTGATCCCCCGAAAGGCAATCGGATATTCCTTGGATCAACTTTACCTATAAATGTTAGTATCCAGTTATATTCTGTGTATCCACAAAATAATCCAGGCCTTTTTTAAAGCAATCCACTGAGCTGGTCAGAACCAACTCTTGAGGGAGTCTATTCCAAATTTTCACAGCTCTTACTGTGAAGAAACCTTTCCTTGTTTGGAGATTACATTTCTTTTCCTCTAGATGTAAAGAGTGTCCCCTTGTCCTCTGTGATGACCTCAGGGTAAATAACTCTACACCAAGTTCACTATATGAACCACTGATGTATTTATACATGTTGATCATATCCCCCTTAATCTCCTCTTCTCAAGAGAGAATAAATTCAGTTCCTCTAATCTTTCCTCATTGCTGAGCTCCTCCATGCCTCTTATCAGTTTGGTACAGTATTCTCTGTACTTCCTCCAGTTCCCCAATGTTCTTTTTGTGAATTGGTGCCCAAAATTGAACTGCATATTCCAGATGTGGTCTTACTAATGATTTGTACAGGGGTAATATGATATCTCTCTCTCTGGAGTATATTCCTCTTTTAATACAAGAGAGGATTTTGCTCGCTTTAGAAACCGCAGCTTGGCATTGCATGCCATTATTAAGCTTGTGATCTACCAGAACTCCCAGATCCTTCTCCACCATTGATTCCCCCAATTGTACCCCCCTAGTATGTATGATGCATGCATATTCTTAGCCCCCAAGTGCAGAACCTTACATTTATCAACATGAAACCTCATTTGCCACATAGTTGCCCAACTAGTGCATTGAGGTTGGCTTGTAAGTTGGAGACATTGTGTAAGGACTTTATTCTACTGCACAGCTTGGTGTCATCTGCAAAGACTGAAATGGGATTTTTAAACTAAGACCCTATATCGTTTGTAAGTATATTAAAAAGTAAGGGTCCCAACACTCAAAACTAACAGGTCTATAATTACTTGGTAAAGATTTTGACCCCTTTTTAAATATTGGCCTTACGCCAATCCAGTGTTACTATGCCAGTCATTAAAGAGTCCCTAAAAATTAGAAACAATGGCTTTGAAATGACAGAGCTCAATTCTTTAAGGACCCGTGGGTTTATGCCATCCAGTCCAGGTGCTTTATTCACCTTTATTCTGTCTAAATATTTTTGGATCATATCAATTGTGAGCCAATGTGGATCAGCTGGAGCTGTGTCACTGCCATGCCCATTATGGACAAGAGCTCCCCCATGCTCCTTTGTATACACAGAGCTGAAGAAAGTATTCATTAAATTTGCCTTCTCTTTGTCCCCGGTCACCCACTCTAGATTATTTTGTAAAGGGCCTACATGCTCGGACTGAACCTTTTTACTATTAATATATTTGAAGAATTTTTGGGGGTTGGTCCTGCTATCTTTTGCAATCTGTCGTTCGTTTTCAATTTTTGCAGCCTTTTTGCATATTCTGTTATATTCTTTGTAATGTTTAAACAATGATAGCATTCCTTCATTATTATATTTAATAAAAGCTCTTTTCTGACAGAGCAAATATAATGACAGATCTGCAGGAGACCTGCATGGCACCAACAATCTGCTGATCACGGGTGCAATGTTTTACAGGCTCAGCTTCTAACTTCGACTTATTCAATTAAGCTTTGACAAAAAAGAACTGGAAGCTGATTGGTTTCTATACAGAACTGGACCAGATTTTGTACTCAACCTCTATGTATCTAGCCAGAAAGCCAACCTTGCTAAGTGAGGTACATCAGAGAATGTCTGGTAATAGTAAAGCCCGATAGCCAACAAGGGCTTGAAGAGACCCCTGAGACTCCTAGAGAATCAACAGGTTCGTTCTGAACAAAGTGCACATGATGGAAAAAAAAAAAGAGGATGCAAGTTGACTACCCTTAGCAGGTAGAAAAGAATGAAAATTAGGCCACCAAAAGACAATTTGGGTTAAAAACTAAAACCTAGATCCTCCTCTTCTTGGGTCCCCCGCCGCCTCTATGGGGGCACCCGCTGCTGCGTGTGTTCATTCACATACGGAGCCGTGGCTTGGCCCCACACCCCTCTCCTCATTGGCTGACTGGTTGTGATTGACAGCGGGAGCCAATGGCAGAGGAAAGGATGATTCAGATAGCTGCTATGCAGGACCAGCTCAAGCAACAATGTAATGAGGATTTTTTATTGAAGTCAACGGAAAAGGAACCCACCAACAAAAAAGGCTAGCACACAAACTTGTTAGAGAAATACAGTCTATCCTCCTAGGACAGCCAAGGCATGCTGGGTAGAGGAGGGGTTTTTACTGGGGATTGCAGTGTCCAATGTTCCTGTAGATGGCAGTATAGCCTATCTGCATTCCTGTATCCCCCAATGGATGAGAAATTATTGGTATGTTTTGTTTACCAAGTGTATGTGCTTCGTACTGTAAAGCTGGCCTGTGTTGGCGGCCCACTGGAGAGTCAGACTGCTGCTCTCTTTGTGAGAACAGCAGTCATACTCACCAGTGTGTTGCTCAGACAGTGCATCTTCAACACTACAAAGCACAAAGACTTATTAGAAAAAACAAAAAATAATATATATATATACATACATACACTATATTGCCATAAGTATTGAGATGCCTGCCTTTACACGCACATGAACTTTAATGGCATTGGACTCATTGGTTAAATATTGAGTTGGCCCACCCTTTGCATCTATAACAACTTCAGCTTTTCTGAGAAAGCTGTCCACAAGGTTCAGGAATGTGTCTATGGGAATGTTTGACCATTCTTCCAGAAGCGCATTTGTGAGGTTAGGCACTCTAGTCAGACGACAAGACCTGGCTTGCAGTCTCCGCTCTAATTCATCCCAAAGGTGTTCTATCGTGTTGAGGCCAGGAGAAGTTCCTCCATCCCCAACTCGCTCACCCATGTCTTTATGGAACTTGCTTTGTGCAGTCATGTTGAAACAAGAAAGGGCCATCCCCAAACTGTTCCAACAAAGCTGGGAGCATGAAATTGTCCAAAATGTCTTGGTATGCTGATGCCTTAAAAGTTCCCTTCACTGAAACAAAGGGGCCAAGTCCAACCCCTGAAAAACAACCCCACACCATAATCCCCCCCACTTCACCAAACTTTACACCTGGCACAATGCAGTCAGGCAAGTACCATTTTCCTGGCACTCGCCAAACCCAGACATGTCCATCGGATTGCCAGACAGAGAAGCGTGATTCGTCACTCAGGAGAACACGGCTCCATGGCTCTAGAGTCCAGTTGCGGCATGCTTTACACCACTGTATCCGACGCTTTGCATTGCACTTGATAATGTAAGGCTTGGATGCAGCTGCTTAGCCATAGAAACCCATTCCATGAAGCTCTCTATGCACTGTTGTGCTAATCTGAAGGCCACACAAAGTTTAGAGGTCTTTAGTGATTGACTCTACAGATAGTTGGCGACTTCTGCGCACTGTGTGCTTCAGCATGCGCTGACCCCGCTCTGTCATTTTACGTGACCTACCACTTGGCTGCTGAGTTGCTGTTGTTCTCAGTTGCTTCCACTTTATTATAATACCACTAACAGTTGACCATGGAATATTTAGTAGCAAGGAAATTTCACGGATGGACTTATTGCACAGGTGGCCACCTATCACAGTACCATGCTTGAAATCACTGAGCTCCTGAGAGTGACCCATTCTTTCACAAATGTTTAAAGAAGCAGTCTGCATGCCTAGATGCTTGATTTTATGCACCTATGGAACACCTGAATCCAATGATTTAGAGGGGTGTCCCAATACTTTTGGCAATATAGTGTGTGTATGTATATATTTGTGTGTGTGTGTGTGTGCGTTATACAGGGTGTTAGTCCAAGACTTCAAAAGGATTTGTGGCCCTATAACAGATATGCAACAGCCACTGTCCAGTTTCACTGCTAGGTATCTACATGAGCTCCCTGCTAAGTTATCTGTGATAAGTAAACACCTCTGAGTTCCTGTGTTTATGGTCTCTGCTAACCTTCCCTTACTTGATTGGTGGATCTGTCCATCATAGTGATTTGCCAATAGTGAGGGAGGGTAGGTGGAGAAGTTTTTATTGCGGTTTACTCCTCACAGTGACCCATTTGTATATTTTAAGAGGCATTCCCAATGGTAATTAGAACAAACTAGTCAATCATTAGTCTTTCGTGTATCTCAAATATCAGTTTTATGGCTTCAGGTTCCCACAATATGCCAAAACAAAATTAAATATAAATGGGATATATTAATACTGTATCTTTTTTTTTTTGGCCTTTAGCTATATTGTACCATGGGAATAAAGACCACAAATGAAGTCACACTAGTACAAGTGACTTTTTCCAAACACACAGTCAAAAAAATATATTTCTGTATCACACATTAAAATTACACTGATACTTAACAATAGCGGCATAATCAGTTCACTCATTCTCAGTAATGTTGGTTGTTACATATTTACAGGGATATCATCATATCTAATTGCATAGATTAGCAATATAAAATACTGTGTTATGTAGGGACCAGCAGTACAGTGCTGGGCTTCCACAGGCTGTGTATGGTAGCAGAAAAAGACCGTAATTAATGTTACTTTATATCTTCATGTGGTGGATTGTGTAGTTGACTAATATATTTAGAGAAGAATGTCAGCAAAATTAATTCTTGTGTATGGTTTCACCTACCCCCCAAAAAAAAAAATTATACAGCCAGTCCTATAATTTGAACACCTCTTCCTCATCCCAGAATGTTGTAGCTTTTTATCTTGTCTTTTCACTTGTCTACCTGGCGGACTTTGAAAGATCAACCCCTAGTGCCTGAAAACATTAGTGGCAGCCTAATGCAATATGCATGTAATTGAATATTACTGATTAGTCTAATATCTGTTCTTTTAAAGTGGTAGTAAACAGTCAAAAAAAAAAAAAAATTCCCCTGCAAAATAATGTCATAATGTGCTAGTATACATCGCATACTAGCACATTATGAAAGACTTACCTTAGAACTAAGCCCTCCAGCATTGCACTGTCATCACTGACAGGGCTTCCATCTTCACCCGGTCTTCCTTCTGGGTTACACACATAGTTAGTCTGGCTGAAAAAAGACAAAAGTCCATCCAGTTCACGCACGCACGCACGCACGCACGCGCACACACACACACACACACACACACACAAAAAAGTTATAATCCTACACCCACAGTTGATCCAGAGGAAGGCAAAAAAAAACCCAGCAAAGCATGATCCAATTTGCTCCTGCAGGGGAAAAAATTCCTTCCCGATCCCCCGAGAGGCAATCAGATATTCCCTGGATCAACTTTACCTATAAATGTTAGTTTTCCAGTTTAAAGCAATCCACTGAGCTGGCCAGAACCAACTCTTGAGGAATCTATTCCACATTTTCACAGCTCTCACTGTTAAGAAACCTTTCCGTATTTGGAGATTAAATTTCTTTTCCTCCAGATGTAAAGAGTGCCCCCTTGTCCTCTGTGATGACCTCAGGGTGAATAGCTCTACACCGAGTTCACTATATGAACCACTGATGTATTTATACATGTTGATCATATCCCCCTTAATCTCCTCTTCTCAAGAGAGAATAAATTCAGTTCCTGTAATCTTTCCTCATAGCTGAGCTCCTCCATGCCTCGTATCAGTTTGGTTGCCCTTCTCTGTACTTTCTACAGTTCCCCAATGTTCTTTTTGTGAATTGGTGTCCAAAACTGAACTGCATATTCCAGATGAGGTATAACTAATGATTTGTACAGGGGTAATATATCTCTCTCTCTGGAGTCTATACCTCTTTTAATACAAGAGAAGATTTTGCTCGCTTTAGAAACCGCAGCTTGGCACTGCATACCATTATTAAGCTTGTGATCTACCAGAACTCCCAGATCCTTCTCCACCATTGAATTCCCCAGTTGTGTGTGTGTGTATATATATATATATATATATATATATATATATATATATATATATATATATATATATACACACACATACATATAAATTGGCAAGTTCCCTTATCTGTGTGTAAAGTCTACTGCTTAGTAGAGTTCCTAGTACTGAAAATTTTCACTAGGAGAGGATTTGTGTGGTTTATTGGTTAGTACTCCTGCTTTGCAGCACTAGGGTCTTCAGTTCAAATCCCAACCAGGACACTACCTGCATGGAGTTTGCATGTGTTCCCTGTACTTTTGTGGGGTTTTTTTTGGTTATATTTAAAGCTAGTCAGCAGTACCATCAAGATGACTCTCCAAACTGGAGACGAAGGTTGCTTTAAATGTGTCAAATAGGTTAGAAACATGCCATGATGCTTTACCATTGCCAGATAAAGACTGTGTGAACTAGGCCATATGGTCAAGTAATGAATGGCAATGTATACTGTAGGTCCGTTCTTGGTGCATCAAATGGAGACTTTACATCTATGTATACAGTAATGCTGGTGGCTGCTTTTCCTCCAACCCACACTTTACATTCAGCCTGATGATGCCACATGTATGGTAATTCTTATACTTCTGTTTGCCTTAGCAGAGGTAAGTGTAAACACGATGAAAAGTCTCCCCGTGACCTCTGGAAATACTCATTATAGCTACTTGAAGAACCTGTCTCTTCAAACCAATTAGATTTACCAGTACAGCAAGGGAGGATTGATTTATTCAGGCACTTTCATACATCAGATCCCCTACTTTGTAAGATAGCCTTCCTTTCTCAATCTTCCTAACAGAGGAACCCTTGAAATAACTGTCTGGTCTCAGGGAACCCCTGCTAAAAATTACTATAGCTACAACTCCTGAAACATTAGTGTGATGATCAATGAGGAAGAATTCTCCTTACAGATAGCTGAAAAGTTAAATGGTGTCAGTGGGAACTTGAGAAGCAAAAACTGCTCATTGCTAAAGGAACCCCTATCAACCTCTAGAGAAACCCTAGGGATTCACAGAACCCTGGTTGAGAAACCTTGTTGTAAGAGAACATCAAGGTACAGCACCTCATAGTGTCATGCTGCAGAATATATGGAGATTTGTTACATCTGGAATAAAAGGTAAGAGAGGAGCTGTCCAAAAGCAGCCATAACGATGTAATGTTAGTTTTACTGCAAACTAGAAAAAAAGCTATTATATGCTTGGTACAGCCAACACTCCGTATTTATTTGCACACGTTTCTTGTGTATCAGAGCCACTGTTATATTATGTATTTTTTCTGTGCCTGGAATGGCTCTCTTCCATAGACCCCCCACAGCTGTTAGAAAACTTTTCTAAACCCAAAGCTGCAGTTTCTGATCAGTGAATTCTAACATTCTCCTTGACAGAAGTAGATCAAATGATTGATTTCTGTCAAGCAGGGACAGTCACACACTGGTTGAAATTCAGCTGGTCCCTGCTGAACCGGCCAAATTTCGATCTGTTTATGGTCAGCTTTATAGAAGCTTACGGTTCACTCTAGCCAGAAGCTAGCAACATTTATTGTAGTTACAGTACCTCTATGTGAAGTCCTTGCTTCTGGTCTTTATAAGCTCTAGTGGGCCTATCGGCAACGAGAAAGGATAAACATGAAGAATCTTCTCTTTCACACATGGACACATATCAACCAATATTCACAATTTTTCTGTGTGAATAATGTTAACTAAAAAAAAAAATAAACATACCTAGCAATTTAGAATGCGTTAAAACCTATATGCTGTTAAACCACCATCCGGTGAAGGATTCTGGAAGTTGTCATACGCATTCATACTCTTACTGTATATTACCTTATGGTATCCTTGTAAACATACTAAAACCATAAAATGTAAAGCTTCAGATTTAAAGCCACACTTGGGACTACCGAAATGAAAGACCGTGAAGAATTATAGCACCAGGTGTATGCTTTCATCCTCATCAGTTAAAGACTGCATCAGGTCCAGTGGCTCAACCAATAACGGTGAAGCCCGATTCTGTTGTCACACATTAGATCTGAAAGGCTAACATCTTGAGCTATTGAAGTAGGAGTCCACTCAAAACAATTGTTTCAGCTGATTTATCTAGCAGTTTTTATATCTAAAGGGCTCCACAACCAAAGTTTGGCTTTGAGTTTCAATGTCCAACCACTATCTCCATGTGTTGTAACTCTTTTCTTTTACAATACTGAGAATTCAACAATAAATTTCACCCCAGGGGCCCCAGTTAAAGGGCCAGTCCACCCAAATCTTATGATGTTTTTGGTAAATACTGGGGAGTTGAACCACCAATTTCTTTTATGCCTCAAGGACACTTAGATAGCAGCTCCCTGAGTCTCTGCATTGGCTGTAGGCATTATGAGGAAGTGCCATTGTACCTTTTTAAAAATGTATACATAGATAATGAAAGCAACAAAGGTGAGTTGAGTAACACTCCTGCTTCCATGGGTTATAAAAAAGAAAAAGAAAAAAAAGAGGAATTAGGGTTGGGTAGAGTACACTCTTGAAGTAGTAAAGACATAAGAAACAGTGTATACTGTATATAAGATCTGGCACTTGTCAAAACATAGCTAGTGTAATGTGCTTTTCCACTAGAGACTAATAGAAAAAATCCAAGCCCATTGCCCAAACCCCTTTTTTCAGGCCGGTGTGTTACATTATTATCTTGCCGCCCACATAATGGATATATACGGCAGCAAAGAGGGTGGGCTTTAATACACACAAGTGTCCATGGACAGCTGAAGATTTTCATGCTAAATTAATTAATGGGAGCAGGTTGAACTGGCTCCTGA